TTTCAGGAGCTTCGAATATCATTCTAAAAGCTATATCTGTGGTTCTCAAGCCTGGCTGTGCAGCTGATCAACTGTAGTGTTGTATAAAAATACACATGTTTGGCTTCTATCTTAGACTTGAAGACTTAGAATGTCCCAGGCTGTCTTCTAGGCATCTGAAATTTCTAGAAGTTCTGTTTCTGCATGGGTTTCATCCCTCTTGTCTGCTTGCAGATTTCACTCCTACCCTTACATTTCTCTCTTTTGCATTGTGGACTCCGCCCTTTCCATCAGATCATTCATCAGTACACTAGCTTGCCCTAATGTTACTTGAGTTTTTAAAAGAACTTCTCTTGTACTTTGTCTTTTTTTTTTTTTCAGGTATGACTCTCCCCATGTCATCTCAATCACAGGAAAACTTCTCAAAAGAGCTGTCTGTATATACTGTCTCCACATTCTTACATTGCCACCTACACCAAACAGAAACTGTTGTTATCTTTTAGCTCACCCAACACTTCCAGAGCCAACAAGGAGTTCTGTGCTTCCTCTCTCTTACTCTTTTAGCAGCATTCAACAAGGTTGCCCTTGAAAAACTTTCTTCTTTAGGCTTCTATGACACCTCAGCCCTTCTGATATCCCTCCTACCACACCAACTACTCTTTCCCAGTCTCATTGGCTGGCCCTTCTTCCTCTGCCAACCTCTGCTGGAGGGGCACCCAGGGTCTGTCCTCTGCCCTCTTAAGGTCCACATTTACACTGACTTCTGATGCAGCTTTATTAAGTCTCACAACATAGACTGTCTGTCATCTATATGCTGATGACTCTCCAATCCATATTTCTAGCCCTGACCTTGGCCTGGGATATCCAATTGCCTACGGAATGCCATCACTTGAATGTTTAATAGGCATCTCAACTTAACACGGCCCAAAAACCCCTGATGACTGTACATTTCTTTCGCCACGTCACCTCTCCTCCAAGCCTTGCATCTCAGAAATTTGGTACAACCCCATATGCAGTTACTAAGGGCAGAAAAGTGGAAGTCACCCTTGATTTCTCACTTTCTCTTATATTCTACATCCAATCCATCATTAATTCCAGTAGGTTTTCCTTCTAAAATATATTCTTACTTGACCATTTCTTAACAACATAGCGTAGTGGAACCATACAAATGGAGTTCAAATTCTGACTCTCATACTTACTATGTGCCCTGGCAAGTTATCAACCTTTCTGGGGCTCATCTTTAAAGTGGGTATGATAGTAATCATATCTCTCTCATCCCAGAGGGTTGTTATGGTGATTAAAACAGTATATATATATATATATATATATATATATATATATATATATATATATATATTGATTGGAACAGTGCTTAGAACATCGTAAGCTTGTCAACACAGACATTATTATTCTGCACCAGGAAGATCCCTTGAGTTAGTGGTGTGGGATGAAGTAAGAGAGAAGAGTAGTCCTTTCATAGAAGGGGCCTGTCACATGGTGAAAATGATGAGCTTTATTCTGAGCAAGCAGTTTCTGAAATAGCAGGCTATCTAAATGTAAAAGAGAAAATACCATATCTAACACTGAAAAGTTACAGAAAATATGCAAGTGACATCCAGATCACCCATGTGGTCCTTACAGCACAAATATGAAGTATACCAAATGGTTTCTCCATCCCACCTCAGGATCCTGAGCAAAAATTATATTTTAGACCCATTGACACTGAGTAGAGAAAACAATTGCTAAGAGGAGAAAGAAAACGTGTGTGTGTGTGTGTGTGTGTGTGTGTGTGTGTGTGTGTGTGATTATTATTTTGACTGCTGGCCTTAGAGTTCTTTTTGGAAGGTAAATGTCCTATTTAGCAAAATACCCTGATGAACTCTGGGAATGATATGGGTTGAGAGCATGAGTGAAGTGCAGAGACACAAAGAGCTCTGCATAATAATGATGGGGAACTTGGCTGTGGGAGAGGGAGCAAGTGAGCAGCAGCTGGCCATGTTTATGGTATGAGGCTGAGAACTGAGGAGAAGGGCTAGTGAGAAATGCCCTGCAGATGAAGGACTTGGAGAAAACAGAGCTGTTGAAAGACCAACTTCAAAGCCTTTGGAGTCTTCTGCCATGACCAATTAGCCTCTGTGGGGTTTGATTTTGGAAAAATTGAGTAAAGGGGGCTCTGTTTCACATGAGGTTGCTTCTGAAAACAGAAGAAAGAGGGATTTAAAATTGAATGCAAATAAGAGTTCAGCCCCAGAAATGACCACAAGAGGGAATGATTCTGGGGTGAAGGTGACACTAGACTTTCATCAGGCTGAGGAGATAATGTGCTTAGACAATATTTACTTAATTCTCAGTCAGGGGCTCCGCACCTACAGACCAGGTGTTTTTAAATATTATCATGATACTAATCAAGAACATAATACTAAAAGTCAACGCTGCCTCTGCTTTTCCACACCTTCTTGGGACTTGTTTGGAGAGCAGAAATGAAGGAGGGCTGCTTTCCATCACCCTTAAAATAATTTGTCAGTGCTTCCCACAACACCAGGGGCCTAAGGGCTAGGGTCCACAGATCCATCGTGGTCTCAAAAATACACTGATAAAAAAATATATTTTTTTCTGTTTTTCTAAAATCTTGCTGTACAACATCAAAATATGCGGAAGTAATTTTGAAGAATTATGTTTAATTTCCCTGCAATCTTCCAAAAAGCATTTTGCTAAAGTGCATAAATCTGCGTGGGGGCCTGTGACTAGCTCTGACTGCAGTGTGTCAGAATGAGTCCTCCATGTTCCCACAATAATGGCTAACATATGCAAAGGATCCCATACAGAAAGCACATGCAGTACATTTTTAAAAGCAATGTGAAATTAAGTAACATGTGAGATTCATATGAAACTTGGAAGAGATATATATATGTGTATATATACATATGTATGTATTTAATGAAGCTCTCTTATTATCTGTTCAAGTAGACAATAGTGAGATATTTGGGGGCAGGGAGAGAGTAAACTTAATACCACCAAAACCCAAGGGAACAAGCAGTGATACTGTGCCTAGAGGGCATTAATTTAGAAAATAAAATATTTTTGTGAATTAAAATTTTGAAGCTTAATGGCATTTAGAGATATCATCTATTGCATCCAACGAATGTCGGAAGCAAGAGTTGTTACCTAAAGTATAAAGTCCTCAGTAAAAGGGGGGAAAAAATGAAAGAAAAGAAATATTACTTCTCTTTTACTCAGTAAGGATTTAAGAAACATTCACTGCCAAAGATATTTTTAAAATATCTCTTGGTTGGATTAAATAAAATGTCCTTTACAAAGTTGTCTTAATAACAATTAGGTGAACTAAGAGCAATGTTCACTGTGATAATAAAACTAACAATTTCAGTACATGGTTCTAGGGAAGTAAGAAATTGTAATATCCACTCATTCCTATAGTTAAATCCAGTTAATTAAACCTCAAGACAGCCATGAGTTTCCCAAGACTCTCAGAGACCTCGGTCTCCCTTGAGAAGGCCTTCCCACCTTGAACAGTGACTATTTTCAAAACAACGAAAGCATGACAACCTTTGGGGAGAAAGAGATGATTTCTGGTCGCTTGCCCAAGGGGAGCTGCTAGAGTTGACCTCTCTTCTGTCCACATGTGACACCACTTGCTTAATCTGTCTACCTTTGGTCCCTCCTGTGTGCAGTAGCTGAATTTTTTCATTCACAGCTCTTGTGATCATTGTATCCATATAAATAGGAAAAATAATGATTTAAGGACAGGCAGAACCTTGGAGTAGGTAGATAGAAGAGACCATGATAAATATTAAATCATTTAATCCTTATTACTTCCCTATAAGACAAATTACTTTTATTATCCCCATTTCTGCAGTTGAAAAAACTGAGGCATGGAGAACCTAATTAATGCACCCAAGGTTTCAACGTAGAAAGTAGTAGAACTGGGCTTTAAACCAAACCCTGGGAATCTGGCCCCAGAGCCCATAAGCTTCATGATTTTGCTTTACTACTGCTGAGGACACTAGGGTAAAAAGGGCAGGCCCACTACAGGAAGGGAGGAACGAAGCCCAGGAAACACGACGTCTCCAGGTCTTGTTCCTTCACTTTATTGAAGTGTTCAGAATTTTGTAAACCCTATGGAAGAGCTACATTTTTAGAGGTTCTGAAGGCCCCTTGTAGTTTAAGAAGAGATGGGCTACCCACAGTCCTTGCTTAAAAGTAATTAAGTCCCAGTTCTATATGCTAATGGAAAACTTACTGAAAGGAAATAAGCCAACTCATTGAAAAAAAGGCAACTTCACTGAATCTTTCAGCACGTGAAATCTCAATCAAGAACTAATAACTGGAATGCTCTTTGAGGAGTGCTATAAACATTCAGAAATTAACAGCTGGAGTGAGGTCAAATGTCATTAAATAATAGATCAGTGGTTTCAAACTGTTTTGGAGGACTGTCATGGTTCAAAAGCCTCTCTCAAGCACCCTTTAGCTAAGATTCACCTCTACTTTCATGTTTTACATGTTGAACTTCTGCACAGATTGTTTTTTTTTACTTTTGGAAAGAATGGTTCTATTGTTTAAAATATAATTTTTGTTTGTTTGTTTACAATCATCCTTACATAGTATTGGATATTTTGTTTATTCATGTACTCATTCACTCATTCTATTAGGTACTGGGAAAACAAAGTGAAATATCAAACGGCTTCTTCCTTCAAGTAGCTGGAGATTTTAGGGGAACTGGTCCAGTTTAAGGGCTGAACTGAATTTAAAGTGAATTATTGTCCTACCTACTCTTTTTTAAGGCAATACAATCATTGTCACTAGGTCAAGACTGAGTGATACAAATGATGAACAAAAGCTCATCATTAACAAAGTAATCACAATGGGAGAGGCTAGATCCTATTAGTCTGGGGGAACTGAGAACAGAGAAAGGAAGATTTATACTCACCCAAAACCCGGGCCAATAAAAGAAGCAGAACACTGTTATTTTTCTTTAAATGTGTAAAAATTGTTTCATTTCTTACCTCGAGAGCTTTCAATCTTTCTAACAGAAATTTGGTCTTTTCTTTCCCCTCGTCTGCACTGCTGCTTTCGCTCCGCGAATCTTCATCTACCACCATGTGAAGATCATCCAAAGCCTCTTTGTGTTTCCTCTCATCCTCTGACAGTTTTTCCTAAAGCAAGAGAGAATTATTGTTTTCAATAATCTCTGCTGAAAAATAAGCAAGTCTACGGCTGAAAAGTTTGGAATCGCCCTATTGCTTTTGCATTCTTTTCAGGCTGAGGTAGAGGTTTTTCTAAACACGCTCTGAGTGGTGCTTATATTAGTAAACACAGTAGATATTTTTTAATGAATCCTTGCAGGACCTCTGAATGCACTTGACCTCTACCCAGTGGGAGAGGTGACCTAACTAACAACAAAGCCTTGGATGATGGAGTCATGCAGTTAATTCATTTTTATCTACACCATGGGATTCTGCTGTGCTTTAAACTGGGGGAAAATAAATCAACCTTCATACCTTGATTTGCAAACAGCTTAGCTCCTCAAATAAGAATAATTAAAGTCACTGGACATTAAGCCATTTAATTAATTTAAGAGAAATATTGAAATGATAGTGAATTCTAAGTGACTTCTTAGACTTCAGAATTCTAAGCTGAATCCAATTAGTTCTTTTGGATCAGTAATGACACAGCTCTTAAGGACCCCTTGTTCCTTTTGTCACACTCCAGGATTTGTAGTATAGCCTTGAGGCAGACATAAAATGTTGTTATCTTGTCTTGTCTCCCTGTTGGAAGCACCTCACTCAACCTTGTCTCTGGCAGCTTTTTGGAAGTTGAGAAGTGTTAATTTGAGCCTCATGACTGGCTCTTGTTTCCAAGGGGGGAAAAATGACAAGAGAATATCAGATAGATAGATAGATAGATAGATAGATAGATAGATAGATAGATAGATAGATAGATAAGGAGAGAGAATATCATATGAAAAAAAATCTCCTCCATTTTGTACATGTATCAAGACCTTCGTGCTACAGAACCAGGTGACATCACTCATCACACTATTTAATTCTAACCACAATGCTCCAGAAATCATCTTAATACAGCTGGTTGTCAACTGTAGGCTAAATTGGATTATCAACGATTGGAGACTTCTTTATATTTAGCACTAAACTAAGATCATTTGCAAATACAGAAGCACAAAAGATATGATTCTTAACCTCTAGGCACTTATGAAATCTACTTAGAGAAGAACAGCATAAGAGAAAAAAAAGCAGGTTTTCAAACTGTATTCACAAAAATGCTTTGGAGGTTTTAAAATAGTTTAAGTTATTTTTTGAAAATGAATTATGAAGTGTGTAAAAATGATGTCTGTATGTATATATACATATATGTGTATGTATAGCTATATACAAATATCTGGAGACCACACAGTATCTTGATCCATATTAATCTGTTTTGTATAGATTTCAAGATAAAATTTCTCCCTGTCATCTCTTTGTATAAACGCACAATTGATTAGAAAGGTGATATAGCTCTTTATGAAATCAGGCCTTGGTGTGTCTAACCACACACGATATGCAGATGTGTTAACTTCCAAAGCATGTGTGAGTTCAGCTCAGATAAAAGTCAGGCAAGTTTAAGGTACAGGTCCTCAGGCCAGGACAAAAACCTAGGTCTCGATAGTATTTTTATAGTTTCATTTTTTAGAATTTGTTTACTTGTCAGACTTCCATTTCCATGATAAGGAATATGAAGTCTGTAGAGTTAGAAAATCACCTTTGAAATGAAGAGGCTCGCCTACTTCTCTTTTAAGATTTTGGATTACTTAGTTAAACATTAAACTGGGGTTGTAAAGCAAACTGTTTTTAAAAATATTATCTACATCTATTTCTCTACATGAACTATGGTTTTTCGTTGTTCTTTCAGCCAACTCCATAGATTGTATTTATACACACACACACACACACACACACACACACACACACATACACACACACAGATCTAAAGTGTCGAGGAACAGTGCTTAAATATCATTATATGAAACAACTAGAAATTATTCAAGATAATATAGATTATATATGAGTATTTAGATTCCATAAAACGCAAAGGCTATTTTACATAATTTGAAGAAAGGGTGATCAATGAGGTGAGAAGTGATTTCATGGAAATGAAATATGCCTTATTCTTTGACAGAGTGATGCAATTTGAATAGTTAGAGGCATATACTGGGATTTCTGGCCAAAGAGAAAACTGAAACAAAGCCTACCAGTCAGGAATAAATTTGTCTTTATTGGTTTATGAGAAAACCAGTCAGATTATCGCATAATTTTTTTTTTTTAGAGAGTAGTTGAGGAACAGAATTTGAAAGTAAAAGAGGAAAAGGATTCTTAGATATAAGAAAGAAAAATTCAGACACGATTCGTTTGTTCGTTTGTTCATCCTACAAATGTTCACTGAGCTCCAACTATTGGTGATGCAGGAAATATGGTAAAGTTTCATGAACATATATTTGAATGGTGCGAAACATGACCACCTCCAAATTAAATCAGTAAGTTATATAATTGTAGCTAGCGGTAAATGCTTAAAAAAAAATCCAACATTATAATGTGATGGACAGGAGAATGTTTAGGACAGTGTCAGATATAGTGACCTGAGTGTAAGGCTGGCTGAGGAGGTGGCCATTTGAGGTGAGACCAACTGTAGAGGAGGAAGCAGCCATGCGATGGTCTGGGAGAAAAGCATCCCAAAGAGAAGGAACAGCAAAGCAAATTCCCAGTGGCCCGGCTAAGCTTGCCTTGTGGGCTCACTGAGAAGAGTCCATATGATGGACTTATAATGATGAAAAAGTATGGATAGTAGGAAATGCGACAGCAAGAGAGCTAGACCATGGAGGATTTTGCAAGGCACAGAAAGCGGTTTGGGTTTTATTCTAAAATGCAGTAAAGAGGAATTGGAGGCTAAGAGGGGGAGTGATAGGTTCTAATTTAAATTTTAGAAACATCATTCTGACTGTTGCAATGGAGGCTGAGCTGTGGTCATAAACAACTGGGGGACCAGTTGAGAGGCCTTTACATAAGAAGGAATAAAAATTAGAAATACTTGGAAAGTTTTGGATAAGGACTTACTAAAAGCGGTTCTCATACTGGATTGGTAGGTCAGGAGCCCTGGTTTCAAAGCCCTGCTTTTATATTTTTGCACCTTGCTGGGCAAATCATTGGACCTTTTGAGCCCTCAGTTTCATCCAGATGGAAAGTAAAAGGGTTGGGCTAAATATCCCATCTAACGCTGAAGTTCTAAGAATTCAATTATTCAAGACAATTTTCAGGAGGGAAATACTGTTGATATGCTCAATGGTAACTGAGATGACAAGAGAACAGAAAAGGGACCTCTACATTTTGTAATAAGGTTGTTAGTGGGAACTTGAGAGCTGTTTAACGAAAGTGTGATGATGCCACTGAAATTGTCAGTGGTTAAGCAAAAAGTGAAATGAGAGAAAATAGAGGCAATTTTCTTAGATGCTTATTTGAAAGTTTGGCAGGGCAGAGAAGGGAATATAAGGAACTATGGCTGATGGGCATTGCAAAACAGACATCTTTTTCAAGATACAGGAAACTGAGTTGTTTGAAGAACTAAAGAGAAGAGAGAGCACTGGAGACGGCAGCAAAGGTGGGAATGTACGAAGAAGAGACATTTAAAATAGGGAAGGCGGAAGATGAAGGGCATTGATAAAAAAGCAAGGCTTTTCGAATGTAGTTCCCTGCAAAATATCACTTTGCAGCTTACTTTCCCAGTTAGTATTTGTAAATCGTTAGTGTCTAGCTTGGGTTCTTACAGAACAAGGATTTGAGTGCATGTATTGGGTTGTCGGAAAAGTCATGACGCATTTTTGCAATGAAAAACATAGAAAAAGTACGTCATGACTTTTCCGACTACCCAATAGTTCATTTGAGAATTGCAGGCAACAGGAGTAGGGAAGTGAGTCAGGGAAGGGAGGGAGCCATACAAGGGCACATTACTAAGTAACTGAAGCTAATTCCATGGGAAAGTCAGGGAAATGAGGCAAAACACAGGCCTCAGAATCATTCCACCCCAGGAGTGAGGGAGTTGGAGTGTTTAAGCACCAACCTCTGAGAATCAATGGTGGAGGGCAGCTCCTAGGTGTCATTTTCCTGGCATTTACAGCCTACCACAGGCAGTGAGACTCTGCATACTTCTCACATAAAAGTGCCTGCCCTCTGACACAGCCACTGACAGCTGGGCATCATGGGAGCACTATGGATGGTTCTGGGATAGGGGCAGGGCACTGCCAATGTCCACTGCAGGTAGAGAGGAAGTGGTGTGACTGCTCTGATGTGACACCACTCAGGAAAAAAGGCCATATCTGTAGGCTGCTCAGGCTACTCATTGACCTAAAAACATACCTCCTCATGTGTTTTATATTCTAAAATGCTCTGAAACAAATCCAAAGGTAGAGTTATCTGTCCTGTCCTTTTCTTTGCTCTTGTCTCCTTCATCAGTTCCCAATGAGAGCGTTAGGGTATAATGCAATAATGAGAAAAAGGGAAGATGGAAAGGACATAGTTTAAGTAGATGAGCAAAAGAGAAAAATATGAGAGAAAATAGTAGAAGAGAGAATGTTCTGAGAGAGCCGAAAATATAGCTATATCCCATTGACAGATCACTATTGTCGATTTCAGAAAGAATAGCTGTTAAACTTATATTATACTCATAAAAGCATGATAATATTTTTTTAAAAAATCAAGTATATGTATTCTACTCATACATAAATAACCTAGATTTTTTTTTAATCACAAATTTTAGTTCCTTTGTTAATTAATCACCTGTGATACACATGCTAAAAAGAGAGCAAGACAGAAGTCAGAAACATGTAGTTTTAAACAAAATATATTCTCCTTATGAACCTTCAAGAGAAACACAAGAAAAATAAGTCAAGTCCACTCTGGAAAATGCCAAACTATGAAGAGAATAAGTTGATACCAGAGGTGACCTGTTTTCATGTTTCAGTTCTTTATGGACTTTCATCAGCAGTGAATTCTATAAAAGCAAGGCCACTACACAAACAACTTTCACTCCCCACATATTTCATATATGGTTGAGATCATAAGCTTGTTTACCTCAACAAATACCACTGGTTTGCAGGAAGCTCAAGATTTAG